GGAATGAAAAATATTTTCACTTTCTTGAGCAAATATATATGGAATCAGTGTTCTTCATTATTTGTTTCTTTTCTTCCACTGACGGCCGGAAGATAAAGAAAAATATTTTCCTTCCTGCACTCCCTTCATGGAAGAAGATTTCACCTGCATTCACTGCAGGGAAAGACGTTTTTGTGTGAAGAACAAAAAGAGAGCGGAGACTAAGAGAAATATAGATCACACTGAAGGTAAGAACGATCTCTTAACGAAAACTATTACTATTATATAAGACAGCTAGCCTAAGTAAAGACTGGTGAAGACCGCAAGCATCTACCACTTTTCTGTCAAACGTTATTCAAAAAACATCCGAGTCCATTCTTTTGTTTTACCGACAATAGATTAGTGACTAAATGCCGGTGAGTTGTGGAATCGTTTCATGCCTTGATTAAGAAATGGAGATTTTTTTCCGAACATATCGACAATTCATTTCTACCAAGTATAAATCCATTTATTTGAGTTCTTGCATCTTGTATAAACAAATATAGACTTATATTATACAATACTACCTTTCATGACCATCAGCAAATAGCACAAAAAATGTTAGAATTACAAAATATAACAAGTGACCTTGCGGAAGAAATTTCATCCTTACGCTTGTCTCTTCGAGAAAAATGGATTCCAATGAAAGGTTGTGGTATAGACTTTCCACAACGCAGTTTAGAATATTTACGTCACTTTACATGTGGCAGCTATCACTTAAAACAAAGTGAAGCATATGCTAAATCACATTTAGATGAGAATGGTGATTTTGATGTTGAGTTATCGCCCGCCAAAAACAATCTATTACGGTGTCGAATACAAAGTCGTCACCAGAATAGTATAAAATATTACCTTTGTGTTAAATATGATCCATCTGCTAGTGATGAGCCGATATTAGACAAATACTGTCAATGTAAAAGTGGAAATCGCACTATAGGTTGTTGTGCTCGTACAGCAACAGTCTTATGGTACCTGGGTTATGCGCGCTTTACTGAATGGAAACCATCTCAACGAGGAACTATTTTGTTTGATAGTATAACATCATGTCGCTGAAATCACGCACTGTAATTCTGCAAACGCTACACAGCAGAACCAGACTTGCCAGGCTTTTTATTGCTATGCATTATACGTTCGGTTTTCATAAGTGTTATTTATCTAAAATAAGTGTAAACAAGAAATTGAAAAAAGAAACTTCGAGTAAAACTCCACGTGTTCTTTCTTTCTTTCTTTCTCAATATACTGAAAGATGCTTTCCATGTTGCTGACAGAAAAAATTAAAATAAAAAAGAAGTTCAAACTTTTCTCGCGTACTTTAAGCAACAATCATCATACTAGTATAGTATTTAATGTAGAAATGTATGAAGATATGCGTTTAAAAGAATCTAATGTATTTCAGCTTGAAGTTTGTTATTTTCTGCATTTTGTTGTAGGAAAGAATAAAAATTTTAAAACCAATGCGGCTATCATGTTAAGAATTTTAATAAAAAGTTTTAATCAAATGATAAAAATAAAAATTAGACAATTAAAACTAGACTATTAGTTTTAATTGTCTAATTTTTAGCTTAGCTTCTAGCCAGTATTTAGCCCATAAATCTATGAGGACAAACTTTTAAAACAAAATATTGTAGTTCATTCGAAGCCTGGAAAGTTTCTATCATCCTGGTGCGATCGTGAGCAGATGTAGATCAGAATGATTAGTTTTAACTGCTGTTCTCTACCGTAGCTTTTCTGCCTGACTCGTTTTCTACAAATTTTAGACTATGTTTGTTTCTAGAGATTCCAGAGTTAGCTTTTTATACTTGCTGATGGGGAACTGGAGAAAAGTAGTTTTGCACTTTCAAAAGTA